ATTTATATGAATCTAATAAAAACTCATTTTTCAAAAAATTGTAAAAATGGGCTGTTTTAATAGATGACACCCCATATATGCTATATATTTTTTAAAGTAAAATAAAACCCATAAACGCTTATGTATATTAAGACATTTTTTAATTGTTAAACGCTTTTGTGTTTTACTCTTATATACGCTATTCATTTTATTATTAATATACTATATAATCTATCGTTCATGTAACAAAAAAAAAAAAAAGGAATATTAACTTAAAAACAAATTCACTTTGGAATTTGATAAAATTGATTTAACTATATATTTGAACATAATATTATTTAGTACTTTATTGAGCTAAAATTATCAAGGTTAACAATTGCTTTTGATAATATTGTACATGAATGTTAACTGAATTAATGCGTGCATGTTTATTTATAATGTTTTATATACATGCTATTGCCCCAAGTAATATAACGAAACTGCAACAGCAACTGATCTAAATATATACATGAAAGTGAAATAAACTTTCTCGTACTTAATTGTAACCTTACTTTTAACCATAAAATAATCGACGACAGCGTTGACTAAATATTGCTTAACGTTGGTGAATGAGCATAATCAATAGAAAATAAGAAACATATTTATCAGGAAAAAAAAATTTTAACTCACATAAAAAAAAAAAAAAAAAAAAAAAGAAAAAAAAAAGAGAATACATATATTAATTAATAAACAAAATTTTTTTATTCACTTAATTTTATTCAACTTAGTCCGTATCAATCGATGAAACTGATCCACAGCTTGACAATTCGCTGTCAGTCTCACCAAATACTTCATCTTCTTGAAAGAATGAATGTTTTAAAGACGTATCGAGTTTAAGAAATCCAACTGGACCAGGTTGAAAATATATGTGTTTCTCCGCATCCCCCTCAGGAGGAGGTTGAGATAAAATTTCTTTGTCATCAATTATATCTATATTGCCCTTTGAATCAACAGTTACAAAAATGCCAATAGAATCATCAATGTCTGTTTCAGTTAAAAAACGCCTTTTTCTCTTTTTAGGGCGTTCTGGCAATTCATGACCATTTTGTTGACGATCTTCTTCTTTACGTTTCGTTCCATTAACTTTATCAACTAATCTAGTGTCATTCATAGCTGCTGCCTTGGCTTGATTACGAGTTAATGGCCGTTCATACCAAAGATCATCACTAGGTTGTCTCCGTTTCTTATTATCAGAAATAGATATAGATTGATCACTAACGTCGACATTTGAGGTGTTAATAGACTCAACGATCTTAGTTTGTGAATTAAGACGTGTTGATCGCGTTTGGTGTCTCTTAGATGCTTGTTTATCAACGATATTAGTATTTATACTCAATTTGTCAGGTTGAATATTTGAATTAACTGAGGATCTCGTAACTGAAAAGTGGTCTGTACTTCCATTTGGAACTGCCAACCCAACGTCATTATCTCTAATTTTTTCGTTATTAAGAAGAGATGCAACAGACGTCCTCCAGAAATTTGAATCTGAATTAACATTATGTTCCTCAGACTCGTTGGGTTCACCGTTATCAATTGAATTGTTCTCCATTACTTTTGTAATTTCTGTATCAGTTTCTATTGGAGTAATTAATGATGCTATTTTAGTTATTAAAGGATGTTCTAAATGATCAATTTCGGTTGTGCTCTTATTCTGTGGAATGTTGGTTGTTTGCGTAAAAGCCTGATTACCAGTAGAAAGAAATTCTGAATGCAAAGCACCGCTATTAGGCTCGTATGTTAATAGATTATCTAATGTCATTTTTGACGATTTTAAACGAACTTCGTCGGCAATCGTTTCAATGGTCGGTGCATTGAAGACGGTTGTTATAGAATTTTCATTAGAAGAATGATTTATATTTTGTGAACTATCAACTACTTCTCCAGATCTTGTGCCATTATCATCAATGGTAGGAACAGTAACATTCACTTGATTTGCAATACCGGTTATGTTTGGAGACTGATCAAATCCAGATATATTGAGATTCTGAGAAGGGACACCAAACTGTTTATCACTAGTGTCAGAACTAGTATTTGTAACAATATCACTAATCGTTGTAGTTGATATAGTGTTATTTAAGATGGTTGGAGGTGCGCTATTCCAAGGTTGAACACCTTCGCTATTTGAAATGCTAAAAGTGATTTCCCCAGGAACACCCTTCTTGTTGATCCCCAAATCCTGACCATCCCTTACGGATACATCGGTGGCAGTTGATTTTTTTTGCCGCCCACGCCCTTTACCTCCTTTTGTATATGGAGCTCTGGCAGCACTTTTGTCTTTTCTAGGGCGGCCACGACCTTTACTTCCAGTTTTAAGCGTTTCATTCGTTTTAATATTATCAATTGGTTGATTTCCAATGCATACTACAGCCTTACTTGGACTTGAAGAAATTGTAGTATCGTTGGCAAAAGCTGTTTTCTCAGGTATAACAATATTGTCAAATCTATAAGGCTCAAGTTCATGATGTTCAAGTTCATGGTGTTCGTATGTTGCATTTTCAGTCACTAACGAATCACCTGTAGGAACGTCTTGATCTGGATGTATATTTTCGTGACTACTTGCGTTATGTTTGACATAATCGGCGGGTATACTTTCAATTATTGTCGTATCAATTGGAGCAGACTTTTTGGCAGACTTTGAATTTTTGCGAGCATCGTTCTTTTTTTTAGTTTCATCAGACCCATCTTTACTGCTTTTCTTAGATTTACTAGTTTTTTCTTTAGTATTTTTCTTAGGTTTATTTGAAACATGTTTTACACTCTTACTAGATGTGCTCTGATTATCCATACTATCATTGTTATATTTATTCACTGTATCATTACTGCTTTCTTTAGCAGATGTACTTGATATATCCTCATCATCTTTTTTAGATGAACTCACGCTATCCTTAAGTTCTGCTTTGACTGTATTAGAACTATCTTTTGTTGTATCAACGATGGATTGGCTATCATGCGAATCGACATTTGAATTATTCGTCGTGGTGATAGAAGTAGACTGTTGAGTAGATTTTGATCTCCTAACACGCGTTCTTGTAGGTAAAATCTCAACATTATTGTGCATTTGCTCGATAGCTTTAAGCTGTCTAAGCCTTTCAATTTCCTTTTGCGCTTCTCTTTCTGTAGCCTTTCGCTTTTTTTCCTCCATTTCACGGTCTTTGTCCTACCGTCAATAATAATTAGTACACTACCCTAAAAAAAAAAAAAAAAAAACTCTGGATGCAAAAGTTTCACAAGGGGTAATTCATATATAATTTACCTTTGCTACCTCCTCGAGGTAGGGAATAACTTGATTAACTATTTTTGTATACAATAATTTCTCTTTTTCAGATCTGCTTGGGTCTATTTCATCACGATCAGACGCAAAATTTTTAAGATCATCTATAGTAGTTGA